CTCCCCGGCGGCTCGGTGCGTATTTGCGTCCGCAGGCGGAGCGGGGCGGACCCGAGGGGCCGCGGCTCTGGGCGCCGCACATGCAGGTCAACCCGCAGCCCATCGCAACCCGGGGTTTCCAGCACCGCCGGTCCGAGGCGGGGACAGGGTGCATGGGCGTGTTTCAGGGGGTCGGCCGTAAACTGGGAGACGAGATGGCTCAGAAATGGGCTCCCAAGACGCCGATGCCGCAGGGGACAGTGCGGAGCGACCCAGGCGGCGTGGGGTAGAGGGAGCGCGACCCGGGCGCTGCACGCCGAGCACTTCCTGTTCAACGCGCGCCGCCTCCCACCGCCCGCGCTCCCCCAGCCTGCGTCGGTGCCAGGCCCAGCCTCCGTCCCCTCGCGGTCCCTGGGGATCGTGCCGCAGCAGTGGGCGAGGAGCGGGCGCCCTGCCCTCCTCGCCCGGCGGGGCTCGAGACGCGCCCTCCCGGCTGCAGGGCCCCACGGGCCGCCTCCAGAACTTTGCGTGCAGCCGAGCATTAGCCCAATTGCGAAGAGTGTTCGCCTTTGCACCTCCTCTTCCCCCGCCTGCCCTCCCTCTTGCCCAGAAAGGAGGACGGACCTAGTTTCAGGCTCCGGGCTGGTTAATTCTGCGGCCGAGGGTTGTATTTACATGCAAACGCCTCGCTCTCCCAGGCTCTGCAGCCAGGCACAGGCGTAGAAGGCTGTTTTCCAAATTACTGGCTCTAATTGCACCTGCCTTCCAGTACCTCTGGGAATCTGTGGGAGGAGCCTGGAAGGTGGGAAATGTTGCCTCGCTTTGCAAAAGGAAGAAAACTTTGTCACCCAGCAGGAGCCCTCTGCCACGCTTAACCCGGCGAGAGAGCAGAACCCGGACAGGCTCAGGCTTTGCTCTGGCACCCCAAGATTCTCTGGGAGAAAGACACTCGAACTCAGCGCTCACCGCCAACTGCCAGCCCCTCCCGGGCGGCGGCGCGAGTTACCTGCTCCACCCTCCCTCCGCGCGGAAGTCCCCACGAGGTGTCTTTGGACTGGAAGAGCGATAATAAAGCGCGCGCGGCTGGGGTCCGAACGCAGCGGCCGAGGGAGGGAGGAGGGGACCGAGTCCCAGGGACGAGTCACCGGAGTTAACTTCTGGTTAAAGTTATGGGAAGCGCGGCCATGGACGTCAAGAAGAAGAAAGACGTTCCTAGCCCCGGCGGGAGCGGCGGCAAGAAGAGTCTGAACCAGAAGAGGCGCTCGCTGCGAGTGCACATTCCGGTGAGTCCCCGAACGGCCGCCCCCGGCTCCCAGCCCTAGGTCGCACGCGATCGCGGCGCCGAAGCGGTTAATGCGGGACGCCCCGCGCGCGCCGTGCGTGCCCCTCCTGCCACTTCGTGTTCATGCGACTCCGGGGAAGGGGGGAGGGGGCCCCGCCGCAGCCGCGGCTTGGTCTCGCTTCCCACTCGCGTGCAGCCAGGGATCGGTCTCGCTTTCCACTCGCGTGCAGCCAGGGCTCGGCGACCGTCTGGGCGCAGGCGGGGGCGGCCGCAGACGAGAGGGGGTGCGGGCGCCGCTGGTGGCCGGCTGGGCGTAGCCTGGAATCCCGCCTGGTGCGGGTGCTGGGGGCGGTGCGTGGTGTTGTTTTTCTGAAAAA